AAATATGCCCGCGTCACTATAAATGCCGCACCCTGTATATATATATATATATATATATATATACATACATTATTTTTCAATCAATATGTACATGATTGATAAATTATATTTCAGCTTAACTGTCCTCAATATGGCATGGTGTTCCTTGGATAGCGAATGTATGACTTTACTTTGTAAAACACTGCCATCATCCATTATACGCTTGAATCTAGCAGGCTGTAGAAAAACAATGACTGATGATAGTAAGTATGAATGAATCGTATTATTTATCTCCTTCCACAGACATATATTTAAAAAACATTTCTTTTTCTTTTTAATTTCAGATGTGAAAGACTTGTCAAGAAGATGTCCAGATATTATAGAATTAGACTTGAGTGATTGTGCTATGCTTACAATCCACACTGTTCATAATTTATTAAATTTTTCAAGACTGGAACACTTATCATTGAGCCGTTGTTACAGCATTCCGCAGTCTGCATATATAAGATTAGCTCACATGCCGTGCTTATTATATTTAGACGTTTTCGGCTTGATGTCGGACTCTGTGCTCAAGTCATTACAAGCCAATTGCCGTGAAGTGCCGGAAATCAACAAGTACCTCTACAGTTCTGTCGCACGACCAACGGTCGGTATTCGAAGAACCAGTATTTGGGGTCTCCGAGTTAGAGATTAAATTCACACAAATATAGACAATATTTTCATCAATTCATAATAAATCAAGGAACAGATTTTACCAAAGGGAAACCGATCTATAATACTGTATCTTTTTGCAAACAGACTGAATACTGTATTGATAAAATTAATTTAATTTGGGGAAGTATTTTCTATCCTTTTTTTTTCCTTTTTTTTTTTTAGTAAGATATATATAAACATTTAAAGTTAATAATGTGTTCTTTTCTAAAAGTTTAATATTGAACTGTTGCTCAGGTATTTTTAGAAGCTTTATGTATATATATAATATTCTTAGCATAACATTTTGTGTGTGTACTTTTGATATTTAAGATATAGAATTACGGCTGTGCGAGACCGTCTTATTTACAAAAAGCTTCTGATTGTGATCTATTGAATTTTGTCAACAATTATTGTTTTCCTATATACTGATTTTTACAAGTAAAGATCTCAGAAAATTATTAAGTGTGGCTGGATAAATATGTTATAAAAAATGTTTTTAATTTACATATACCTAATCTAATATCTGTTAAGTAAAAAATTATATTGGGTTACACATTGCGCTTTGTTCAAAGAGATTATCATAACATGGCATAGTCGATCTCTCTTAGTTTCGTTCCTTTCATTTATGTATATCCTTGTACCTAAAATACTATTTTACATATTGGTTATTTCTTCTAGAAGTGTGCCATTTGCCCACGTTGCAATTATCTATTATCACAGCGATTAGTGTTTGGGATTTTTTTTACCGGATTGATCAATTAGGAGGCAGCGATCAACCAAAAGTTGATTGGTCGCTGCCGCCATTATGCGTATACAACGGGCGCGTTCCATTTAACGACCGCAACGCTCGCGAGCGTTAATCTGTCTTTGTTTAATTTTCGGTGAACAACAAGGATGAAATGATACCATGAGCATTGCGGTCGTTTAGTGGAACGCGCCCAACCACTTATGTTTTTACGTCATCGGTCTAGTGATTTTTCGTGCCTCTCTTGCAAACGTGTCACCACTATCACCACGCGAAACTCTCGCATGCGCTCCATCCCCCCCAAAAAAAAAAAATTCAGCCATATTGGTGTGTTGTATCGCTGTTCTCAGTGATTTCGAAGCTCAGCTAAGGTATCTCTCCCGAAGACCCAAACGTCGCTATCGTGCCCATCCGCGACTGTCGGAGACCCTGATCGGCGATCGTTTTTTTTCCGTGATTTTGTCTCGATCGCGGTTCATCGCGCACATCGATCTTCCCCAATGTTCGCACAGCCAAAAAAAGTTGGGTTAATGTTGCCACCTTGGATCGTGGAAATCGCTCTCGCTCGCCTGCGCCTGCGAAAAACGTGTCGCGATTATGAGGAGATCGCGTATTGTCTCGCGACAAGCTTTCCTCGAGACGTATCCCATCGTTCGTCGCGAGAATCTTCGTGGATCTTCCTAAGCCGCGCATAATTGACGAGCTCCGCGCGCTGCTGTACTTTGTGTCACTCTACAGAACTTTCTTTGCTCTCTGAAATCCTGTCGCTCTTATCTGTTTTTTCTATCAAAGTTTTGCGATCGCCGATCGCAATATCCCGTCGAGCAACAGGTACGGGTTGATCGGTACGCCTTGATTACGCGAGATCGCTACAGCTGTTTCTTTATGTCATCCTGCATCGCGTGTACTTGGATGTAACAGATGACAAAGTTTTCCTCCGCGATGGACGACGAATCTTCTTTATCCACCTTCGATCCATCGAAGAAAATCGCATTACTCCGATCTTATTTTCCGCGTGTTCTGTTAGAATCAATCTGGCCCTACAAAGATTTATATAAATTCGTGATATCGGATATTCGGTGAAAAAAAAAACATCTTGAAGTCTTATGTTATGCAACAGAACCTTGCATATTCGATATTTTTGTAAGATACCTTTTATAATATTTAGCTTTGTAGAACAATACATTCATGGCTAGATATGCTTTATTACATTTTAATGGTCTTATTTGGTACTTCTTTTTATAGAAAATAGTACATCATGACGGATTCCATGAAATTTGGTCCAGAATGGTACGTAACTCATATTGCTAGTGAAAAGTTAATCCGTCGTTTGTATTTGTGTTTATAGTAATGTGATTATATCTATATTTCATATATAGGTTGCGCTCTGGTGGTAGTAGTGGAGGTGGTGGAGGAACCACATCATTGAGTACACCTCGGTATCAATTGGCAGAGCATAGATATGGTCGGGAGGAGATGTTGGCCCTTTTTGATCGCAATAATAAACCTCCAGAGCTGTTGACAACTTTTGCAGCGCTGTATGTAGAGAAGACTCAACTTCCATTGGCTCTTGTACAGATGACAGAGGATGAAACGGTAATTAGACATACATATTATATATTAATATTACAATACATTCTATATTACATGATTTATATTTTTATCGTGCAAAATAACAGCCAAGTTTGATTTATTCTTGGTAACAATAGAAAGAAGGAAGCTATCAAATTATGTTATTCTACTATTATATACTTTTGTTTCTCACTTCTTTCCCTTTTACTCCATTCTATATTAAGAATTATTTAAAAATATAATACTGGAGCTCTCTTATCTTAATTCTTCTTTCCATCAAACAATTTTCCTTTTTGTGTTTTGATAATAATTTTTTGATTAAATTATTAATGTTTGAATTCACAAAAAATGTAGTAAAAGTATCAATGAGAAGTAGAATATAGATTTTTTTCAATAGATGTTTATTCTGTTTTTCTTGCATAAATATGTTTCTTGCTGCTTTTATCAATATTATTGGGAAGAAATAAATAGTTTTGCCCTTTAAAGCATATTTTTACATAATGTTTGTTATATCCAGGGCTATCTTCTTTTGTGTTACTATTTTAAAATTGTAAAAAATGAGAATAAGAATATTTGTTTGAAAGAAAATTCTCTTTCTTTTTGTTATTTATAATATAACGCTCAAATATAAATGCATTTTTTAGCGTATGTGGAATGGAGGGATAACTAATATTGGTAACCGTGGGAGAGGCAGCAGCGTGGATCGTGGACGTGGTAGGATTGGAAGAGGAGGCTTATACTCGTCTCATTATTCACGCGGGGTTGGTTTCGGGGACGATTCTGGTGATGGGATACGAATCGAGGGCCAATCATTCCAGGTACATAATTTCTCTTTTTTTCTCATTAGATGATTTTTTCTTCGATATGTATCGATATATATTTTTTTTCTTTACTTAATATTATTTTTGTATCTATTGCTTTTTTCCAATGTTCTAAATTTTACAAAAATAAAAGATAATATACATACTTGTTGATTAGAAAATCATAATTAGGTACAAAAAATCAACAAGTTAACATAGGATGGAAAAAGCTAAAAAATCTTATTTATAGGGAAGAAATAGGCCATTCGATAGGTCCCAAAGCGAACGCGGTTGGCCAGAGAGAAACGGTGCTTCAGATCCGGGAGAATGGAACGGCTCGACTAGTCCGAGAAAAGAGCTAAGTCGTGGGACTAGCGGTAGCTCGCTTATGGAAAGTAATTGGAGACGTCATCGCGGAGGGGGTGAGGACGATGACGGTTGGCGCAAGTGGGGTAAATACGCACGCATCGCTTCATATATTTAAGAAGAGATTTTGTATTATTGTTATATATATATGTTTATGTAATAAAACGAGATATTTATTTTAGGAAGAAGTAGTTGGCGCGAGGGTGGCAGTATAGATCGGGATAGGCTGGATCGAAATGACGGTGATGGGGAAGAGAGCAGAGGTAGTGGACCGGGAAGATGGGAACATCGGGGAAACCACAGACCCTCCCACGACTCGGGTCATCATCCACCACCTCGTACCGCTCGCGCTTGGGAATCGAATCATCATGATAATCACGACAATCTACCCGAGTGGTTAATATTAACTTTTATTATCATGGTATTTGTGTACACATCTCTTTTTATTTTTATTTTAAATTTGATATTTCAGGGCAACGGAAAATCCGAGCGAAAGCGGCGGCAGTTTCGATGCTTCCGGCGCGTTCCATGGTGGAATGTATTCGGACGATGATGAAGACGGTGTGGCGGGTGCTTCCCAACAAGGCAGAACTCGACGCGTCTCGGAAGGCAGTGCTTCTAACATAGTGAAATCTAATAACAAGACATTGACTCTCGGAACGGGTTCTGTCCAATCGTTGAATCGCCATACGCATAATACAGTCGGTACCACATTAAGTAAGGAACGATCGAAACCATTGGATTCAGTCGAGGATAAGGATAATTCTACAGAGAAAGAGAAGAGATGTAACTCGCCTTCCGCCAAACCTTCGGTTGCACCGACGACCGAGAGCATTCCCGCGAAGATCTTAACGACATCTTCGGATCTTTTGCAGAAGAAAACTGTCATCGGATCCGCGAATGTGAATAAAGTCGAGACCAGCGAGAAACCTGGCGAACCTCCGAGTGGAGTTCATGATAAAGAGAAGACGCAGACGCAGGAAGTTAAAAAAGAGCCACAAATAACTGCTACCGCGACCAATCGACAGGTTCAGACAATTTTGGAGCAGTCGAAGCTCGTGCATAATCCGGGAACTGCTAGCATCAGGCAGAGACCGGAGGATGACTTTGATAGAATGAAAAAAGAGGCCGATGCATTGGTAGCCAAATTAATGGCGGATGAGGAGAGCCACAAAGAAAAGACGATCGCTACCGGTGTTCCGTCGGCAATCGGCAGTAATCAACCTTCTGCGGTTTCCGCCACGGGTAATCAGGAAAAATGGTTTTACCGTGATCCGCAGGGTGAAGTTCAGGGACCGTTTTTAGCTAGCGAAATGGCCGAGTGGTGCAAAGCCGGTTACTTCACTACGGGATTGTTGGTGAGAAGAACCTGTGATGAAAGGTACACCACACTTGGTGATTTGATTAAATTGTGCGGAAGAGTACCTTTCACGCCTGGTCCACCAATACCCCCTTTGAAGGTAGGTTATCATATTTATTTTACAATACTTTATGCATTCTTTTTAAATTTTTATATTAGATTTTTATTTAATTATTTTATTAATCAAGGACTTGGATGTATAGTATAAATAGCTTTGAATTGAATAATTTGAGAAAAAGAAGTAAAAGGAAAATAAATATTATTTGTAGTCATCTATAATATTCAAGGTTGCGATGTAAAGAAATATCCAAAGATCTCGAAAATAAAATTACATATTTTTATCTTGCATTTCTTTCGCAATTATTGTTAGATATATATTCTTTGATAATATCAAATAAATTTTTATTCGTAGTTGTCGGAACAAGTGATCCCCCCTGTTCCTACTACTATACCAGCGGGGCTGGGCGCCGGTGCTATACCGAAAACAGGAATAGAAGATCCGTTATTGTTGATGACGTATCAGCAAATGCAGATGATGCACAATCAGCAAATGCTGCTCAGGCAGATGAGAACATCGGCGATAGCGAAGTTGTCTCAATCGGAGCATTGGACGACGCTGAGTCCAGTGGAACAGAATCAATTGATTCTACAATACGTTATACAGGACGGAATGCAAGAGATCCCGGAAGTTCCGATAACAACGAACCCGTTTGTGCCTCATCTTGCGTCTCAAACGGCTAATCCTGTCATGCAACTTTTCACTCAGATGCAGCAGGTAATGCATCTAGGTTAATTCGATATCAGTTTTACACAGACATGATACACAAGTACGATATTATGAACGCATATTCTTCGCGCAGGCAAAGACGCAACCCGAAACACATCTAGCGACAAATCCGCATGCAACCGCATCGCCCCATCCAGCTGCAGTAGATCCACTACAACAACTGATCCAACAGATGGGCGGTATACAAAATATGCCTTCCATGCAGCAACCAAATATCGCTCCGACTCCCGCGTCAACACAAGAGGACAATCCGATAAAATCTCTGTTACGTCAACTCAACGTCAACACGAATGGCCATTCACAGGCGCCTCATATGGACACTGTCTGGCCACAACCTCCGCCGCAAATAGCTCCCCAGTTTAATGCGCAGAATTGGTTAGCGCAGGTGCGTTGCGTCTCATAAAGTTCAAGTTTGTACAGGGATACAAAAATTGATTTTTTTTTCTCTTAAAATTTGATTCAATCTTGTTTATTCATCAATATAATATCATACTGTCTTCTAGGTTGGGCCCATTCCCGCAATGCCGCCTGGACAATTACCTGGTTCTCTATGGGATCTACATGCTAAAGATATGAAAACCGAGCAGCAAATATTGGTAACTTGATTTTGTTCGATTTTGAATGATATAGAAAATCTAATCTGCATTATTTTCTCTTTTTAGGAAGAACAGAATCTTAAGTTACAAGAAGACAGAAAAAAGGAAGAGTTAAAGAAACAAGAAGAATTACAGCGTCAAGCAGAGGAGGAGAACGCGAAGAGGAAACAAAAGGAAGAGGAACAAGCTAGACAAGTCGAAGAGGCGAAGCGTAAAGAGGAGGAGAGAAAGAAAAAGGAAGAGGAGAAGAAACGAAAAGAGGAAGAGAAACGCAAGCAAGAGGAAGAGCAGAAGAAGAGAGAGGAGAAAAAACGTAAAGAAGAGGAGAAAAGGCGCGAGGAGAAGAGAAAGCAGGAAGAGGAGAATTTGAAGAGAAAACAGGAAGAGGAGAGAAGAAAGCGAGAAGAGCTTAAAAAACAGGAAGAAAGACTGAAGAAAGAGGAAGAGAAAAGAAAGAGGTTGGTGGAGGAAGAGCAAAAGAAGGAAGAAGAAAGACTTAGGTGTGTCGATGTGGAATTATGCAAAGCTAACAAACAAAATGAACAAAAATCGAACACATTTGAATGAAACTTACGTTTGTAAATTTTACAGGAAAGAAGCGGAAATGCGACGGCAAATGGAAGCGGAGGAACAACGTCGCTCGGAACAACGGCGAAGAGAAGCTGAGGCGCTGCGCAAGCTTCAAGAACGAAATAAAGCTCCGTGGGCTCAGACTCCGCGTGCGATGGCTCCTGCTGCTCACACTACCTCGCTCGCTGAGATTCAAAGATTCGAAAGAGAGAAGAAAGCGGTAAACACATTTTACATTTACGCGGGTAATGTATACACATCTACTGATGTCTTTATTGTTTTATTATCTTACAGGAAGAGCAACGGCTTCAACAACTGATGCAACAACAATTGGCGCAGCAAAAGGCAATAGAGGCGGCGCAGGAGGCATCGGCAACCGATTCGTCCAAACGATTACAATTTAAATGGGCGGAAAAAGCTACTGCTTCCAATAAACCGCTTCAAGTGAAAAGTCTCGCGCAAATCCAGCAGGAGGAGCAAGAACGCATCGCTAAGGTAAAGGTACTTATTGCTTCCTGAGTACACCAGCGACAATGAAATATTGTCCCGGTAAAAGAGATCGTGCGATAAGAAATCGGAATATTCCTTTCCTAGCAACAGGAAAGGGAACGGCAGGAAAAGGCCGGTCAAAAGGAATCAGCGAGTATGCTGCAGAATGCCGGAATATGGGGTACGGCATCGCAATGCTTGAATTGGGCCAATTCGAGCTCGTCGAATAGCCAAGCGTGGTCCATTAATACTGGTAATAGTGGCTTCTGGGACGATCCTGCACCCGTCAAGTCGTCCGCGACTGTGAAGCAATCAGCTGTTAAACAAACTGCGACCGCAAAATCCAGCACTCCTAATCAGCAACAGCAGCAGCAACAACTACAACAAAATAATAACAATAAGGCGTCCAAGAGCAAAAACAAGAGGGAGGAGGAATTAGTGAAGAAACTATTTGAACAGAACACTGCCAAAACCGATGAGTTTACGCAATGGTGTAATAAAGCGTTGAGCGGTATACAGGCATCTGTGGACAGTAAGTACAATATAATGCATCAAGTTCATCACTCACATTGATTTTCTACTATACCACATACATTTGCAGTCCCTACATTCGTTGGATTCCTGCGGGACATAGAATCGGCTTATGAGGTGAAAGAGTACGTCCGCGTTTATCTTGGCGACACTAAGCAGAGCACAGAATTTGCCAAGCAATTCTTAGAGAAGCGAAGTAAATGGCGATCAGCGCAGCGTCCTCAGGCCCAAGCGGACGATCTGTGCAAGCCAGCACCGGCCGTTAATCCGAATGCCTCTGCAGAATTTCAAGAAGTTAAGGTACGCGTTATCTTTGTTAATGTTGGACAACCATATTTTTCCGTATGCAATGATATTAAGATATTATTGACTTAAATCATTTCATTTCAATATCTGTTAGAGTAGATATTTTTTTCACAGATTATCTTCATATTATTTATGTCATAAGAAAAAGTTAATATCTCAAATATAAGGATGGAATCACATCGTGCAAAACTTGTTAGATATATGCCTTTTTCTTCGTTCAGGGAAAATCCAAGAAACCAAAGAAGGGAAAGATGTTCAAAGTGGACAACAGGATCCTTGGCTTCAGCGTGACCGCGGCCCCTGATCGTATCAACGTAGGTGATCGTGATTACGGTGAAGGAGTCTGAGCTGTTTCGCCAATTTACCTCGTGAAAATGATGCGACGCTCTCGATTTACATATTGCGAACGATTCGTTATTTATTTATTGTATATGCCAAACTGGTGCTGCTAAGAAGAATCCCGCCACGGGTAACTTCTTGAAGCATACAAACATTTTACGATCCAAGGAGGAACTCGATCGTCCTTCAATCGTCGATGACAGTCTTAGGACCGTGGCTGAGCGTGGCATTATTTTCTTATTACATTAAACGGAAAAAGCTCCATTGTACATATTACTCAAAGATGAATATTTCAGAAAGAAAGAGGACGGACTTACTTTTTCCTATGTATGTATGCGCGACAATTAAAGTTGGAAACTTTTATAACATTTCATCATCATCACATCATCATCATTTAAATCCCTAAACCAAGATGAGAAAAGAAAACGGGAGAGAAAAGATATAACAAGCTCTATGGCAGTCAATAGCAATATGTGTATGTAAAGGTGTTCGACAGGAGAAAGAAGTACTATATATATATACATATACAAATATACACAGACACACACATACACACACATGTATTAGAATGTGCTCGTATGTGAAATCGCGAAAACCATCGTCTCAAGTACTGAATATATATGCGGTGCGTCAGTATTTGTCCTCACTGAATCCTATGGATTTTTCGCTTTGTCGCAAATATATTCGTGGAGAAGAAAAAAGATTCGCGCGCTTTGTATTATTTATACAATAGATTTTACGAATGATTTAATCCATGCATCTCGAGCATGGAAAACTATCTTCCTTCACTTTTTTAATAATACTTTTTTCGCTGTCATAATATATCGCAATCATAATAACGATACTCTAAGCAGAATTTCATTACACACAACGGTAGTTGCATACGCAGATATTAATAATAGAACGGAGATTCGCGTTACTCTTTGCAACAACGAATGAGCAGCGAAGGAGAAAGAAAGAGAAATTCAACATACTCTTTCTTGATATTAGGGGAATAATTATGAAATAAAACTAGCAATTCAACATAGCACTCTTGATTAGAAACTTTTGGTTCCGCAGTAGAAACAGCAATAGCGATTTAAAGACGATATTTGTATTATTAATTCCACACAATCTCGACAGTGTAGATGAAATCGTAACATCACTGATAATTGCATGTGTGGATCTCACTCTTTGTAGTCTTCTTGTAATCGATCTAATAGTAAAAGTTTGAAAATACTCGAAAAACTTACACAGGAAGACTTAAATTATAACACAACACATGATCAGAGAGGCGGAGTACTTTTTTGTAAAGTTTTATTTTATAACTCTGTTGTAAGTGTCGTAGTTAAAGATCCATAAAGGGGAACCTTTTTAGCACTTTTTAAGGATATTCGTTTCCTTGCATCTTAAATGGACTAATATGCATCGATAGATGCGATATTGGATAAGCGTGTAATGTTGTGACACAGATCTGACCACTCGTAATATTATGATGCTTGTTAACTAAGGTTCATTGATCTTCTCTTATCTAAAATCATACAAAATAGGAGAAGATCACAGATCCTTGCACATGAAAGATTTATGTATAAATAGATTAATGTACAGAGTATACGCGCGGTGATGATTAAACAAACAGACGAAAACAATAATTAAAAATAATATTGTATCAATATTCTATTATTGTATTTAACGTACAACGTAATTAAAATAAATATTTTTAATTTGACTTTCTTATTGTTTTACATAAATTTTAATTTGTTATCAATCGCGGACTTCATAAAAAATTCCAATATATGATAAAACGTATCGAAATTTTATTTAAAAGTACGAATGTAATTCTTTTTTTTCTTACAAGTCGATATATACATTTCATATACTTGTATACTCTGTATGCGCAGAGGATGACTGTTAGCTGAACGAAAGTACGGCAGATTTCTAATCGCAGCATTTAAGAAAGAGGAAGAGATAAAGTTTCTTTATCGCTTCTTATATGGAAGGAGAAAAAAAATACTCGCGAAAACTATCAATTATATTAACGCGCGGTCGGTGAATTAACACGAACACGAATTAACCTTTCTACTCCACACATATTGCTACAAATAACTGCTTAAAAATTAGCGCAAATTGTTTTAAAACGTAAGCACGAACTATCCGTAATACACACACGACGATATTTTGTAATGCTAATGACGCAATAAATATCTTTCTTAAGCATATGTAACTATATGTGTATGCGGAGTGCGAGCGGCGTTGGATATCGTTACAAATTGTTATACGTGTTATGCATTGATTCATACGAGATGTCACATATATCATAATAAAAAAAGAAATCCACACATTTAACGGATAAAGTATTATTTTCATAAACAAACTGACATCGGATGTTGAACATCATGCGCTATTATATTTGTTTTGGAGTGATACACAGAGATTACAAAAAGCAGCAGGAAATATAATAAATAAAATTGTTATAAACAGTCCTGTCAGTTGTAATAATTTTACATACAAGTAAATCACGATATTTGTACTTTCTCCTTGTTTCGCGTATCATTATTTTGCACACATCTTTACATAGATATATATATCTTTTAAAAAATTTATCGATAAATGCAACACTCGATGATTGTTCTTCTTCACGATATAACAATAATTTTTACAGAGAATGTGAGTTTTGGAATGTTTCCAAAGTTATATAAAGACTATATAAAATACTTGAACACATTGAGAAATTTACATTTCACGTTTCTATGACTGTTAATCATTTTTTCCTTTCCCGTTGGATGGCATAACGTGAATCTCGTTGTAGTCCCGCGCAATATCAATGTACTGAAAATTTAATTATCTATAATTATAAATATGAAGAGAAATCCTTTAAATACATTAGATATATACTGCACATATACGAGACGATACAAAGAGCAAAAATAAAATATATAAGCCAGTAATAAAGCGAAAAATGTATTTAAATTAGCAAAATATGAAAATATCGTACGAAAATATCGCATAAATTGCAAAATATGAAAATATCGTACGAAAATATCACATAAGTTGTGCATGTAATCTCGAATATTTTACCTTTCTAGGAACGAAAAATTCCAGGACTTGTAGTATTATAAAGCACAAGGACACCACAAGCAGATAGGCTAATACACCACTTTGCAGCTGACTCGCCAATTGCTGCCCCAGATTTCTTTTAGCTTCGCGTTTCACCAAATTATACACTATCTCCGTACGTTTCGTGATGTTGAACCAATTGTAATATAAGCCTATTCTCTTGTGCATCTCCAAGGGACATCTGACATTGCCCCTTTTATAGTCTGCTATAGCCATCTCCAAACCTTCGATTAACGATGGTACAGTCGGTTCGACGAGATAAATCAGATCCAGTGGCAAAACTTCCGGAATCCCTCCGACCTTCGTCGACACTACTTGCAAACTATAAAACAATATTAATCACATTCGCTTAGCAAAATTCTATTGGCATAGAGAAGGATAAAAAAACTATTTATTGGAAAAATTCTGAAGTTAAAAAAAATGTAAAATGAATAATTTTAAACTACATAACAAGAGAGGAAAATGGAATGTTTACCCGCAAGAAGCTGCCTCTACGATAGCCATGCAATAAGCCTCTGTCAGACTCGTATTGAGAAAGATGTGACCCTTGTTTAAAACATGTTTGACTTGGGAGTGCTCCAAACTGCCCAGCAAGGTGACTCGGTGCTGTAGTAGATTTCTCTCCCTTACTTCCTCTAGGAGCCATCTCTTTGGCCCATCCCCGCCAATTAGAAATTGTACATTTTTATGACGTAAACAAATCTCGGGTATTATATGGGCTAGAAGATCGACGCCCTTCCTATACACTAATCGCGATACTATTACTATGGTAACTGAAATTGACAGTTACATTATAGTAATTAGAAAATAATGCGTTTCTAACATATTAAATGTAATATAATGTAATGTGTAAAACAGAATCTCGAATTATTAAGCTTACTAAAATCGTTGCTTCGTTTACTGACATCAGGCGTAAACAGCGCGGTGTCAACGGCATTTGGAATAACCGATACTTTCTCCTTCTTCACTTTGGCTCGTAATACTGTATTTTCTTTTCCGATATGAGACACACATATACAATGATCACAATCAACTAACGATATCTCGAGAAATTTGTTTGTTAGAATAGCCGACGCGTCCGCAAAACCGAAAAGTGAGTGATCTGTGAAAACTGTCTGCAAACGTAGCGTTAGTAGCTATCTCTGAAAGCCACTGCTAGTATAGTCACCGAAACTTACTTTCAGTCCCATTAATCTGCCAATCAACATTCCCTCATGTGCTAGAGCGGAGAACGCTGAATGTCCATGTATTATTTGTATCTCTTCTCTTACAAAGATGTATCTAATAAGTGGGAGAGAGCATATCATCGTCGGAAGAACGCACTGATTGTAGAAAACCTTGACTGGGATATAATATACCTTAAATAAAAGCAGACGTTAAAGATACAATTGATTAAAACAAGAACAGCTAATAGAATGAGAAAATTACAACACGTACTTTCAGTCCATTTGTCATGTATCGCACGCCTACTCTGTCCCCATAGGAGTGTGTGAGTATCACCACTTTGTGTCCATGCTCCAGCAGACATTGGGACAAATTGAAGATGTGCTCCTCGACACCGCCCATATTTGGATAAAAGAAATCCGAGACCATGCTGGAAAAAAATTAATGAATGTTAGATACTATATACTAATTCAGAGATGTATTTTTATAAATAACATATGACAGAACTATAGTGTAGCATGTATTTTATTATTATTATGATAAAGAAATAACAGATAAATCATATACGAACCATATCTTATGTTTTACACCGTTCATCTTCATACCCATACATGATTCATACTGATTTAATCCGACGATAGCAAACTCCCATTTGACAGCTCTCCCTCTCTCTATTTCATATTATCTAAGTACAGTCGGTTTATCTTCGTGTATCATATTAATCATATCATATATTTTTATTTAGTTTACGATTAGATTTACTGATAATAATAAGAAATGCATTCTTTTAATGAGAAGCATTCTAACCCTCCCAACACAAGGAACACTCGAATTTAATTCGCGCGAGATTTGATGCGTCAGGTGAAACGGAATAATCCAATCACCGAAATTTTCTCCGGTTCTTCAGAGTATTTTTATGAAAATAATAAGGATCGTTTTCAATATTATGTATCTTTACTGTAAATTCATCAGATGTATGTATGTACGTGGAACTTGACAATGACAATTGCAAAATTGAGAATATTTAAATTAATAATTGCACATGTGCCATGTGCCTTTTATACAATTTTCCCTATCAGTGTCGTTTTCTCAAAGCGCGTTCCGTTTGGTACTTTTGACGAAAGTTTCGAAGCGATCGCCTGACCAATCAAAGCAAAGAGATTTTTATTCTTCTTGTCCTGATTGGACAATCAAAGGATTTGGAACTTTCGTAGTGTCAAACGGACCGTATTTTTTATTCCTAGAAATGATCTGAAAATGTCGTGGAAATCAATTTAAAAAATCGAGATATATATATACATATATTAGATAACTGCAATATTTTTTTTAGATTTGCAATTTTGAGATGTAATGTTGTATCGATATAAAAAATACATTTTTGGATTTCATTATTTGCGCATGCGCAATAAAAGCGTCTTTGACATAGTATATAGTTTATATGTCTATATGTTTATATGTCTATATGTTTATATGTCTATGGTCTTTGAGAATATTTGTCTACATTACCTACATATGGCGTGAGTGTTGTGTTTATGAAATTGAATTGATATTTTAATAACATGCCGATCCTGGATAAAAGAAAGGGTGATGATATTCTGGCGTTGGTCCCCGCCTCGAAACGTACCAAGAATGAAGTCGTCTTTAGTAGCAGAGAAAAGGCGGTCGTGCAAAGCGTAAGTTATAACCTTGCATCGTTATTTTCGACAGAGTTTTAGCATTAGTCCGAGAAAGCAGGATGTTGTGTTATTGTTTTCTTTTTAGAAAATGTAAAATTTATATGATAACATTTTTAAGGGTCCACCGCGAACGTCCTCCTTGATGTCGATGATAATGTTGCTCGAAGGACATCAAGGAGACATCTTTTCCCTGGAATTTCATCCGGAAGGACAGTATCTGGCATCCACGGGATTCGATCGACAAATTTGTACGTCTTATCGAGTCAAGTCGTTCGTTAACTCTATAAATTCTGCATGCCTTGTTTAATAAAATAATCGTTTGTAACTTGCAGTCATCTGGAATGTTTATGGAGAATGTGAGAATATCGGCATCATGACCGGACACAGCGGAGCAGTGATGGAATTACACTTCAGTCCAGATGGCAACCATTTGTACACAGCTAGCACCGACATGACGCTAGGTTTGTGGGACATAGTGGCTGGATCGCGAATCAAAAAGTTGAAGGGCCACACTTCGTTTGTAAATTCTGTGTCAGGCGCGCGAAGAGGACCCACGCTACTCTGCTCGGGCAGCGACGACAGCACGATACGTATCTGGGATCCCAGGAAGCGGGGTCAATGCCACACATTGAACAACACGTATCAGGTATAGTACTTATACCTTAATAATGCATTTAGTATTTAGATAATTATTATATGTATACATATATACTCAAAATTTTATCGATACAATTATAGGTTACTGCGGTAACGTTCAACGATACGGCGGAGCAAGTAATCAGTGGCGGTATCGATAATGACGTAAAAGTATGGGACCTTCGAAAGAATGCGGTGCTTTACAAATTGAAGGGGCACACCGACACAATTACCGGACTGAGTCTCAGTCCTGATGGATCATATATACTTTCCAATGCTATGGATAACATGCTAAAGATATGGGACGTACGACCATTCGCGCCCTATGAACGCTGCGTAAAAATATTGTCCGGGCATCAACATAACTTTGAAAAGGTATGTTCTTTTCCTAATACAAAGAAGAAAACATTATTCAATAAATATTCAAAGAAGAAAAACATTTATGCTATAAAAGTCAATAAGTTGAAAACATCATTTTTAGAATCTTCTGAGATGCGCCTGGTCGCCGGATGGCAGCAAAGTCTCGGCTGGATCGTCGGACCGATTTCACTATATTTGGGATACTACGAGTCGTAGAATATTATACAAATTGCCAGGACACAATGGATCCGTAAACGACATTGATTTCCATCCAAAGGAACCTATAGGTATGGAATAATTTATAATAAACATTCTCTTGTTTCATATATGGAGAACATTTATCATAGGAAAATGTGTAAAATATATATATACTTTTTAATTAATTTATACGTGCATATAATATCACAATCGTATTTTTTCAGTGTGCTCGGGATCTAGCGATAAGCAAATCTACTTGGGCGAGATCGAGACTTAATAATATTAGAATTGTTTTTAAGTGGACACTGAATTGCAATTCTTTTCTCGCTCACAGTTTGATTTTTTTTCCGCTTAGTATATATGCCTATTTCATCTGAAATGAAGAGAATTTGCTTTAATATAAATATATAAACGAATATATGCTGTACATGCGACCAGGTTCATATCTGAAGCAGTGGTATCAAACGAATATTTTGGCACATGTGCAGTAACATAAAGGTCATGTAACAATAAGCGATGTACATACATACATATCTGACCGATATGTTATAAGGTTCATCATGAATTTGGAAAGAAATAGAAAATATAAATCATTAATTGGATAATATAATTCACAGGTAATAGTAACAAAATTTACTAATATTTTGCGTTTGCAGGTGGTTTATTATATAAACATCAATATTTGTTATAAAGATAAGGCAAGAAAATCTGATTAGTGTTTTTTAACACAAATATAAAATTATAGTTTTAACGTATATAATAAACAAAATTAACATAATAAATATTTTCTTTTTATCATATATATCGTTAAATGGGAAAAAAAAATATATTAAAATTCCATGTATGCGCTTTAAAAGTATCAAACATTGCGCTAATTCGAAAACAGCAGTGCGACATCTCTGACCATGCGAGACACGTGCGCGTGCGCTCGGTAGGCAAAGACGTGTCCCGTAAGATTACACATACGTCCTGTCACATGCACGCATGCATATAGCGAAATTGTGTTGGTAATTAATCAAAGGCCGTTCACGAAAATGGCCGATGGAAGCGAGTCACGGTTGTTTTCCTCCAAGAGCCTGTACGAATTGTGCGTGTCCGCGGTGGCGGACAGGTTTCGGAGTTACAAACCGCATCTCGCCGACCTGCCCAAGAACGTGCGGTTCGATCTCTATTATCAGGTAAACATCAAGCTGTCAGCGGGACAGCGACGGCCACCGACCCACCGTACGTCCAGTATGTACATACAATCGTCATCGTGCGCACGATGTGGTTTGTTTTTACATGCCTCGTTCTCTCCGAGGGAATGACGATTTTTCATTTCGAAATCTCGAAGTCGCGTGTGTTTATCTACGCTGGTGATCGATTCGCGACGCGCGATCACTTACCGTTTGCGTTACGAATCATCCTCGTGCTCAGCTGTTGACTTTGATTTGACGTTTGCGACGCGTGCAAGACGTGTTTGCGGGGAATGCGATTTCTAAAAAAAAAGGAGAATTCCGTTTCATCTCATAATCGATCGACTTATCGCCGCTCGTTGTCCCTCGCGTTGTTTCTGATGGATTCGATCTGTGTTTCAGCTGTACAGAGAGAGGAGATTATGCATATTGGGAGCGGAATTGAGCGATCTGGAGACTTTCTCCAAGATGCTCAAGGTCACCAATCGTCGAATACACCTTCTACAAATCTTTCAGGTGATTTTGATCGTATCAGACCACCGATTTTCAAGAATAATCGCTATCTGTCATGTATTTTTTTATATTTTTTCTCTAAAGGAGATATTTTATTTGTTTATGTTTTTTTCCGGTTTTGAAGGCTCCGATGTATCATGGAATAAGGGTGGGAAAGAATTTGGCCATCAGTTACAACGTGCACTGTTTTCAAGTAAGGGAGAATCCTGCTGCACAGGATAAGACTATAAATCTAGGCTTGAGACTTGGTGGATTTCTTAGTGATGCTGGCTGGTATTCGGAAAGCGAAGAAGTACTGTTGGCTTGCAAGGAATTGTGTATTGCCAACAATCAAACTCCTGAAGATTGGTGTAGAACATTAGATTGTTGTCACAAGTAAGAGAACAATTTTTTTTTTTATATTTTATATATATAGAAAGAGTATACTTTAAATAATATTTACAATTATTAAAATAATTATATCTTTAGGCTGTTACATGCACAAGCGGCATACTGTGCTTTTGATGGGGCTGCAGAGACTCATCAACTTGCCATAGAAATGATAGAACAATTAAAAAACGCGCAGTACAGTAACAGTAATCATGCTGCGCTCTTTGCAGAATTCAGTGTATTATTTTTCATACGCAGTGAATATGATCAAGCTTACAGGTACACTCTTAATTAACAGTATTTTTGTCTTGCGTAACTTTTATCTTTTTGACATTTTATATTGAAGCCTATTATTTTTTTAGGTGGAGCATAGAAGCCTTAAAGCACTTAAAACCGTCGCTTCCCGCACGGGTCATTATCGATGTTCTAAGACAAGCGGCGAAATCGTGCGTAGTTAAACGCGAGTTTCAGAAGGCTGGTTTACTGATTAGAGAAGCTGTTTATCTCGCTAGAGAGATTTTTGATACGGATCATCCAAAATATAGCGACGTTCTCATCGATTATGGATTCTACTTACTAAACTATGATAGCATCATCAATAGTGTATCCGTCTATAAGGTATTTATTTCTGAATACATCTTTCACGAATCTTCATCGTCGGAAATTTTTTGGAAAAATAAAACATTCTCGTCTTTTTCCAGACTGCGTTAGATATTAGACGAGCGATTTTCGGCAAGACTAATCTCCATGTCGCTTTGGCGCATGAAGACTTAGCTTATGCTCTCTATGTATACGAATATAGTTCTGGCAAGTTCGACGAAGCAAGGTAGTACTTAATTGGAATTACGTTTAATTTATATATTACATTTGATAATGCAATATTTATTTTTATTCAATTTTATTTTGCAGTGATCACGCTGGAATAGCTATAGATATTATGGAGAAACTCTTACCTCCCTATCATTTGATGCTCGCGAGTGCTAAACGAGTGAAGGCGCTTATCCTCGAAGAGATCGCTATAGATAACGCATCTACGCCGTTGTCTGAACAAAACCTGTTACTCAAATCTGAATGTCTTCATTTATCCGCTTTACATTTAGCCAAAACTGCATTTGGCGAGAGAAATGTACAAACGGCGAAGCATTATGGAAACCTGGGACGCTTGTATCAAAGTATGAGAAAGTTTGAGGTATTGTGATAATATATAAAGTATATTTATAAAATATAAAATATAAAGACGCACATGTATAGATATTTAATTATTTTGTTATTACATATTCAACATGCTAGGAAGCGGAAGCAATGCATCTGAAAGCGATTCGTATCAAAGAAGAGTTATTGGGTCCTGAAGACTACGAAGTAGGTTTGAGCATAGGGCATTTAGCTTCATTGTATAATTTCCACATGAACCGGTACAGAGACGCCGAGAAGCTTTATTATCGTAGCATTGCAATCAGTAAGTATAACTATATGTAATTTGAACCAACTTTTAAATGATTGGAATGCAAAATACTATGCATGATATTTTATGCAATGAATCATGTTTTGATCCACAGGTTTAAAGTTATTCGGGAAAAGTTACAGTGGCTTAGAATACGATTATCGAGGACTCTTACATGTGTACAATAAATTAGATGAATACGAGAAAATATTGGAATACACAGATACATTAAATCATTGGAAGGAACTTAGAGACAAACACGCTCAATCTGAAGATCCACCAATCGATGTACAGAAACGTCCACAACCGATCGCAAACATAATCAATGTGTTCTTTTCTATGTGATATATCAATAAGTGTGTCTAATTCAAATCTTATGTCATTGTATGTCATCGAGCGAATTGTTGGTCTTTGTTGCGTTTATAAGACATTGGGCCAAAGTAGAAATTACTCACATTAGGGCGATTTATCACTGATCTGATCGTACGATTAAATTAACTGTCTGTCTCGTGTCGATATTTTATAATACACATGCATATAGTCAATATCGCATTAAGAACAGTTATTATCAACATGATATTAAACTTAATTAATACAATGTTGAAAAAATTGTTAATTTATGTAAATTCGTTTGTGTAAATTATTTGTATTAATGACGTCATCGCGACATGGGTTTTATTTTATTATGAGTTTAATTATCTCTGGCTTCAAATTAGATTCAGTTTATCTAAGTTTATTTCAATGTATTGGAGATTCTTGCGCATCAAAATATGTACATCCTTTTTAGACATTTTATATATATATACGTATATATATCATTTTAATATAAATTTTTCAATCTATTATAATCTTATTCATATGTCTTTATGCATATGTATATATACAGAGAGTCCCACGGAAATCTGACATAGCAAAAAGATTTGAAATATGAGGAAAAAAAGATATAAGGCAAAGTTAAATGGTTTTAGCTGCTCTAACTTTGTGCATCACTATTATGCATTTATGTGCATGCATGTAGCTGCAAAGTGCAATCGTATCATTTTTTTAAAATGGAACTCCATGTTTTTTAAACATATTTGACACAGATTTTCGTTCTTTATAAAAAAATATTAGGATATTTATGCCGGATATTAATTTAGGAGTTATTTTAATTTTAACGTTGCAAAATAGTTCTACTAATGCAATGTTTATCTTCTAAAGATTAATGTTCAAAAGACCATTCTTTAATCTGGATACAAAAATTTACTCGATCCCTAAGCGATCTACCAACCTTTCAAGCATTTTACTGGTAACTTGTTGACATGCTTGGATCCTTTGTTTCAATTTATTTGGAGAAAATTCTTAGTAATAAACTTAATTTTTTAAATAAAATCCAGTAGAGTTGTTCTAAGGAATTACTGAATAGCAAATTAATAATGTAATAAAAAAACATAAATATAAGAATAAGATGTTTAAAGTATGACAATAAGTCATTTATGTTAATTTGATTGAAAAATTTATATTAAATTGAAGCATATATATATATATGTGTGTGTGTGTGTGTGTGTATGTGTATATATATATTACACTTTAAATTTGCTATTTTTGTTGATAATTCTATTTTTCAAAAGTTTTTTTTACTCAGGTTTTTCATATAAAATATTTTTTTGTTACGCTCGCTTACAGAACGCATTTATAATTTGTTCAACTCATTGCTTATTTCAAGATTACAATAATTGTAAATTTTCATACATTGCATAAATCTTAAATAACAATGATAATCAACACATACATGCGCTTATGTTAATTGTAACAATGTAATTAAAAAGATAAGTATTAAAGTTCTTAAAATTCTTGATAAACAATTTGGTGAACGAATGTTTTGTTGTTTGAAATGTTACTTTCTTTGTAAAATTTGATATATGAATTTAAAAATATACACATCCTACATATATATTCTATAATTTTTGTATCAAACATATTTTGTTCCTAAATATCATAATATAAATAAAGATTGGACGCGCACGTTTTTCGAATTATATTGGTGTACAACTTTGCTTCCGCCGTTTTTTTTCCGAAATTCGGGGCTTTATTGTAAAAAACTGGTTATACATTTATGATTCAAAGTATTGTCCATCGCTGGCCACTACTTTCTCCCATCTTTCGGGAAGCGTACGAATCCCGCGTTAAAAAAACTGGTCATCTTTTGAAGCGATCCAAGAATCGATCCAATTTCTTACTTCTTCATAAGACCAGAAGTGCTGGTCAACCAGGCCGTGTGCCATTGATCGAAACAAGTGATAGTCAGAGGCAGCAACGTCTGGAGAATACGGCGGGTGGGGTAGGACTTCCCATTTCAACGTTTCCAAGTATGTCTTGACCACTTTCGCAACATGGGGTCGAGCATTGTCATGCTGCAAAATCACTTTATCGTGTCTCTCGTTGTATTGCGGCCGATTGTCTTTTAATGCTCGGCTCAAACGCATTAACTGCGTTCGATAACGATCGCCTGTGATTGTTTCAGTCGGTTTTAACAGCTCATAATACACTACGCCGAGCTGGTCCCACCAAATACAGAGCATAACCTTGGAGCCGTGAATATTCGGTTTGGCCGTCGACGTGGAAGCATGGCCGGGATATCCCCATGATTTTCTGCGCTTAGGGTTATCGTAACGAACCTATTTTTTGTCCCCAGTCACAATGCGATGCAGAAACCCCTTCCGTCTTTGCCTTTCAAGCAACTATTCACAAGCAAACAAACGCCGTTCAACATCTCTCGGTTTCAACTCGTACGGCACCCAATTTCCTTGCTTCTGAATCATTCCCATGTCTTTAAGGCGTTTTGAAATTGCTTGTTGAGTCACTCCCAATGATCGTGCCAATTCTTCTTGACTTTGACTCGAGTCTTCATTAAGTAATGCCTCCAATTCTGCATCTTCGAAAACCTTCTCTCTTCCACCGCTATGCCGGTCTTCGACGTGAAAATCACCGTTCTTGAAGGGTTGAAACCACTCACGACACGTTCTTTTACTAATAGCGGCCTCACCATAAGTATTTGAGAACATTCGATGAGCCTCAGCCGCAGGTTTCTTCATATTGAAGCAGAAAATTAAAACCTCCCGCAAATGACGAGAATTTGGCTCGTAAACTGACATTTTCAATCGAGAATAACTTTATGATGCAGACACAAATCGACTAATGTTTCTATGGGGTTATGTTGACAGATGCCCAAGTTTATTGCATGACTATGATCTATTTATTTCGACCACTACTTACCGCTAAAGCCATCTATAGGAAAACGGCGGAAGCAAAATTGTACACCTAATATAAAGATATCTTGAAATAAAGAATTTTCTTCGAATTTACGTCAATTAAAGTCTACAAGTACTTTTGCAGATTTATATTATGTTGAAAATTCACTGAGACACTTTAGATAAGTTTTGAATATTTGTGTAAACTCTTACATAATTAGATAGAGCATAGTATAAAGATGCTCCGAGATGTTCAGTGATAAAATATACATATGAGTATAAGAGGCGCAGTTGCGTAATTTGCTTAGTACTATACAAATTCAGATTATTTTCTCAGCATTATGCGCCTCAGGCTTCTACTTATATGTTGTCAGTAATTATAATTAGAGTTAGCAATGACTCGATTATTTCATGCATTAAAGAGAAACAAATATACGAATAAAATCAAATATACTAGAAAAATTTTCTCTACGAATAGTTAAAAAAGATAATTCTCTATAAAATGCACAGAAATAGAGTGAAAATTTTCATCGTACATACATCACATATATGATATAAATTATATAGTTATTACTTACCGATACTGTCTACTGTATTAATAGAAGTTTCTTCGCGTAATACATTTCTCGGATTCTGTATCGATTAGTAGTTTGATATTTGACATAAATAAATTTTCTTTGTAAAAGAATAGACAGAATTTTATCAAATAGCATTATGCATATTCATTGGATTTGTATTTTGATGCTTTTTACATAATTATGAAAGAAAGTTATACAACATTATTTCAAGAGGTGAAGAGACGATTGAGACTTTATACTAAAAAAAATTTGTTAAGTCCTTTTAACTTTCATAATTAATGCCACATTTGATGCCTATTATATATAATTCTTTCCTTATAATTCTTTTTTGTCAAACTATTGGAAGTGTTTCTAAAATCGTGGCGATTGTTATAAGTAACTCTGCACATATTATTTTAATAAAGATTTTCAATCTGTTAATCTCATATTTATATATATATATTTTATATTTTACGCAATTCGCTATTTGTAGATAAGTTTCTATTTTAAAAAGAGTTGCTTAGGTTTCTCATATAAAACATCTTTCATTTATACTTGTTTACCGAATGCATATATAATTTTTTCAATTCGTTGTTTAGTTTGAAAGATTACAATATTTGTAGATTTTCATGCATATCTTGAAATAATAAATATATACATGCACCTATTTGTTAATGACAATATAATTAAAAAGATAGATATATTAAAGCTCTTGAAACTCTCGATGAACAATTCGGTGAGCAAATATTTTTTGTCATTTGAAATGTTACTTCCTTATTTTGTCAAAAATTCTTTCTTTATATCTAAAATTTAAAAATATCCTATATATACATCTTATATTTCTTTATATATCAAATATTATGCCCTCCTAAGTATAATAAATATTATTAATTAAAAACTATATGGACACGCGCGTGTCCTCGGATTAATTGGATATCTCGAAAACAAGAATTCTTCGAGTTTGCACAGAAAATTATCTACAAGTACTTTTTTTCAAACTTGAATTATGTCAATCTTGAAAATCTTCAGGCACATTTGGTACATATCAAGTGATGAGACGATACCGCTCATCCATTGTAAATTTATAATTAGACAAAAATGATAAAAGTTTTCCGATATTCAATGGGTAACAACAATACGATACAAATAATAGAATTAGTACAAATTTAAGATGCATTTGATATCATGTAATTTATTTAACAACATTGTACTCAAATTTAGATTGAGTTACGAGCATCTAAATAGATGTGCAAATGGACCTTAGGTTCTCACAGGACCTATAGTATCGTCAGTGAAATTATTTAATTAGTTAACAATCATAAAGTAACAAGTTAAATAATAATTTGTAAATACTATTTTGCAATTATTATTTCATCAATTATTAAATTCATTTTATATACTTTCATATATTATAAATTTACAAATTTGATTGTTTGTTATATTAGAGGAAGAAAAACAAATTTACACATAAAATTAAGTATAATAAAATTAGTAAAATCAGAACAATTTTCTATGTCAAAAAAAGAGAAAATTCTGTAAAATAAAATATAGTTATCTATTTCGGGGAAAGACTTGCCAATTATATAAATGTCTGAGATATCTAGAATTAAAATAAATACAAACTAATATAATATATAAATACTCACGATATTTTTCTGGATAACTCACATACATTCAAAAGCTTTAATTTGTTTAAATTACAGTAACTATTTCGATAGTACATAACTTTTTATATTTACACGATATTTGCTGTATCACTTCGGTTCTCAGGTAATAGGAATTTCTTATCTAAACCCCATATTTTTACACTATGAACCTTTCTAACTCTCTATAAAAACAGAAGAGAGTTATTGTTAGGCGGTATTTAATAATCAGTACATTCTTGAGACATCAATTTCAGTGAGTACTAAATTACCAGACTGATATTGCACGTCTCGTTGAACGACGTTAAAATCCCGTAGTTTTAGAACATTTAGTCAGGTGTATGCGGAGCTTCTTGACTGAAGTATGGTGCAGTATCTTGCACTAATAAAGTATGACAAACATCACAGACTCTGGATGGTCTTTGTTGCGGTCCGCTATTCACGACGTGCGAGAGGCAAGATTGGCAAAATATATGGCCACAGTGACGGCAATGCATCTACGAATGACGTAAAATCTCCTCAATTCCATTATACAGAATATTAAGCGACGCTATCTAATTTCTATAATGTACCTTCTTCCTTGTGACTGAAAATGTTGTATGACAAGTAGGACATTCTTCAACATCCTCTTCATGTTGCCATCTTACTTCGCTACCTGCCTGTCTAATCCTTTCCAGTTGTACCTGTGTGTCAAAATAATACATTGTATTACTTATACTTGAAGTCTCTCTTTCTCCATTTTACATATATAACAGAGTTTACAACTAAAAAAATAGCTTATTACAAATTCTTCTTCGTCAATTTTGAATGCCTCTCATTTCTCTGTTTACATTATTTTTTTTACCTGCAATGACTGTGATAATCTCACAAAGTCTTTTTGCACTGCCTCACTAGTATCCAGTTCTTGCTGTAGACTCTTAACTCTCTGTTGTAGTTCAGTTACAGCCGATTCTGCGTCTTTCTTCTCTTTCTCGGTTTCCTGTAGCTGTTTTTCTAACTGATCAAGTTTCTTTTCTCTATCAGCAAGTATACGATGATCTCTTATGTATTTATCTAATTGCACTCTACAAATCATTCGCCGCAATAAAGTTTTATACCGATGATTGTAATATTAAGTAATTGTAATCAATACTTTTATCGTTGTTCAATAGAGAATCTCACCTTAATCCACTTATTTCATTCTTTAACATAGAATTATCTTGTTCTTTAACTCTACTCTCCTGCTCCATTTGTTCTCTCAGAAGAGTGACTTCGTATCGCAGTGTTCCTTCCTTCTCTTGTGCCACTTCTTGAGCTACTTTGGCTGTAATTAAATCTTCGCGCATTCTTAAAAGGCTAAATTGCAATTCCTCAACAGTATTTGGCATGTTGATACTTTCACTTTGAAGCTGTTGCGAATGTTTGCTTTGTTTACCCACCAGATTCTCATTTTCTGCTTGAAGTCTGTAAATATGCAATTAGATTTCGAATAAAGCTTTATCAATAGTATATACTTATTTTTATAGATCTTAATTTAGTTATAAAATATCACTAAACATAACATAAAATTAAATTGATCACAAAAAAATTGTCTTACGCAGTGAGATGTCTCTGTACTTCTTCTCTACCTCGTGTCAATTTACAAAGCTCCTCTGTTACACTCCTCTGAACTTGGTCGAAAGTTTTCTTTAACTCTAATAAATTTTGTTGCGTCGTCTGCGAGGTAACCGTGAGCTCTGCAACTTTGATTTTGTGCTCCTCCTTCTTCTCATTCCACTTTTCTTCCATTTCTTTTCGAAATTCAACTTCCTTAGCTAAATCCTCCCTTTGAGCTTGTAGCATACGTTGAGAATCTAACAACTGCGTCTCCAAATCCATGGCAGTCGCTTCTACTTTGACTAATTGTGCTTCATAGTTTGCACACATATCACATGATGGCTCAAAGGAACCAGGCTCCTGCTGCCGTCTTTTTAATAAAATGTCTTTAGATTTTTGCAGTTCATCGTCGGTTGATCTTAATTTTTCTTTTAAAGCTTTTATTTCTTCTTCAAGTGGTACAACCAACGAACGTAAAACCTCTGCATCTTCTTGTGCCTAAAAAATCACACAATTTTTATTTATCTTAATGTATGATACAATCATTATTATTCCTAAAAATGTAGGTGATAATCTTGGTATATAATGCAGTATATTTCTTTGTATGATATGTGTAAATTTTATTATATGAAAAGGATTTAATGTTTCATGCTGTTTTAGATTTACGTACATATTTTTTTACCTTCCGCATGCTTTCTTCTAAATTATCAGGACCTAGGGATAAAGAATCTGCACCTAACTGTGAAGCTACTTTTCTAGCTAATGTTTTAGTTACTGTAGACAATGAGATTTGTGGTCCATCCGTTGGCGGATCGCGCGGCAATTGCGTTTTCAATAGCGCATTTTCTTCTTGAAGCTTGGAAAAAGCTAATTGTAACTTGGATACTTCACTGACAAGTTGCTTCCTTGAACAAGAAGATTCTTCCACTGTTTCATGAATAACCTGTTGTAAAGATGCTATCTCTTCTTCAGCTTTTCTCTTCTCCACCAATATATCATTTTGTATCTTAAGATCTGCAACGACTAGTTGACTTTTAGTTTCGTCCAGTTCATTTTTTAGTCTTAGATTCTCCTTTTGCAGGCCTGTGTTCTCTTCTAATCTTCGTTTTAATTCCTCTACAAAATTCATCGATTGCAATTTTCAGCATAATTATTGCAAAACTGTTTGTTCAGTACTTAAGTTGTATGTGCGCTACATACCTTCTTTTTGAAGGAACAATTCCTTCATTTTGGCTCTTTGTACATTAAATTCCTCTCGCATTTTAATATTTTCCGACTCCAATTTATGGATCTTCGCCTGTAGATCCTCTAAATCATAACAGATAATTCTCTTAATGATATTAATCGTGTCTTAAAAGATCTGATTATTAACAAACGAATAGTAATATCGCGAAATCTTCATTAAACTAATGCAATCCCTTTTTCTCGCATACCAAACAATAATGTAGCGCGTTTAAATTTTCTGTCTCTATACTTTTTTTGCACATGAGCGAGACGTACCGTTAATTGAGACAACAAAATCTAAACAAGGGGACAGGGGACAAACAAATCCAAACAAAAGCAATCGCGTGACCTACCATCTCCGTTCGCTTTGACCGTTTGATTTTGGTCCTGGTGCTCCATCGTTCGATCACTCAGCACCGGGTAGACGCAATCTTGTTAGGATAGGTCACTGCCGTGAATTCGTCGGGAAGCATATCTCGGAATTCCGCCGGGATGACTGGTGATCCTTCAACGACGGCGCCGACATGCCGCTGAGGAACCGGATTCGTCGAGAATTCTACTGGCTCATCAACGACACTTGTCACGTTACCGAGCACACGAGCCTAATGCCAAGACGTAACGGAATCCGGGAATTACGTTTCGTCGAATTCACGCGTGCGAAAAAATTGCGAAGCAAAATCAACCTCGCCCGATTTCACAATTCGTTCTAGCGATGTATCACACAAAGTGATTGTATCGCTTATAATCGGTAGACTTGTTCCTTTCAACTTTCAAGTTGCACTTTCGTTAGTCGCGATCCTCCGTCCTCTTCTCTTCGAGGCGCGAATACAGTACACTCGTCTTCCTTTAGACACCAGAAACGCGAAAAAGTGCAGAATGGATCTCGACATTAGCATCTCGATCGATTAATATCGATCATCCGAATCGACTCTTGCTATACAAAATGCTGAATAATAACGCGTGTTGCAAACGTCGCACACTCATCCGCAGGTTTGACAATACATTTTGTTTCTTCTCCTTTTCTAAAGTCTATCTTTATATAGATATGTATCTACTTTATTTTGTGTAAATGATAAAAAAATACAATTACACAAATTGGACTATTCAAAACACTTGCAAAAATCAACCAATCAATCAATCAAGCACGAAGATTAAAGATTGGATGTGAATAAAATCAGAATAAAAGGAACAGAAATTTCTTTATCCTGATTGGTCAAATTTCAATCTTCAATACACGAATTATATCTCATTCGAATGCTTCTTACTAATAATCACAATATGGCGTAGCCAATCAGATTTGTCACCTCATCTTTTCTATCCCGGGTATTTTTTCCCTCACCCTAAAAGCCATTGCACGTGAAAAAATTTTAGTCGTAATCGTAAGGCCGTACGCAAATCAACCAATCACAGTTAATATTCTTATTACGTTATTAGAATACTTGATTGTGATTGGTCAATTTGCTTACGGTCATACGATTACGACTAAAACTTTTTCACGTGCAATGGCCTTTACCCTTTTATGAGTAATCTTACAATAAAGTCAGTTATTTTCTTACCTCCATATAGTGTATTTGGATTTACAGCATCGTACATATACGTGTATGTATCCGTCTATCATATATATTTATAAATTATTTTGCACTTTATGTAGATAAGATTGCATGAATTTCCAATATCTTTCGTTGTCGAGATAATCGCATCTCATCGTATATTCCATTATTCTATAAGTTTGCAATCTGCCTTCTTTCTCTCCTTTACACAATTTCAAATTATTTGTAATTGTGTATAATTTGGGACGCAATAAACTATAGTAATAAACTATATATAGTGAATCATGATTTTTTTTTTAAATCCAATTCGATTATCTTGCTTCAAAAAATATATCTTTTATTGAATATTTAGATATTTTCAGTAATAGATATAATATTAGTAATATAGAGAAATTCTAAATAACATCATTCTTTTTCTTCAAGTGAAAATATTCTAATTCGTACGATTTTCGAGCACACCCCATATAGCCGAGTAATGTATTATATATCTTGTTCTTCGTATGTACAAAACATAGACAATTTTTCCGGGAAAAACGCTTTAATGCGACTATTGCGATCGACGATATATTTCGGGAGCGCTTCGCGTTTCAAAATTGACCGTCAATGCGTGTCGCGTCGTCGCTCTTAGTTTTTCAATCGGATGATTCGATGTTGACGAGATCCAAATCTGGCGATTCTGATATACAATTCTATAATGGCGACGTGACCATCATGCGCCGATTTTCCTGAGTCACGATTCAAAATTTCCGTGAATTCTTCGCGAATCTTTCACGAGTTTAGGTTACACTATATTAATGCACCTGCTCGTCGTTCCTAGCGACGATGCTTGGTGCTTGCTGAATTATCGAGTCTAGTGCATACATGCAGGTAAGAGAGAAAGAGCATCGTTTATTTACGTCGTATTTGCGCGATCGTGTATATTTCGTTTTATTTCGATTTTAACCAATTTTATTTATCATGAAGATGTTACTGCAACGAGGCTAACGGATTCAAGCTTTAATTTATTTTCAAGGGACAATTTTTGTTTATACGAGCATCATGAATACATTGTGGAAAACCTGGCAACCCATCAAGAAAGAACCGACAGCTCCCGCTATAATGAAGAGTTTAGACAACAGTTTAGATGATTTTGATAAGCTGCCTGAATTTAATCCCAAGCTATTTTTTGTAGACAAAAACTCCCTGATGGACTCTTGCATGAAATGTCACAATAATAATAACAAGAGTTTCTTGTTATTGGATGGACGAGAAAATCTGCAAGTCTCCGATGCTGAAGAGTTCCTGAAAAAATTGAGTTGTATCAAAGAGAACACTAAAGTGAAAGTGGTTTCAATATTTGGAAATACAGGTGACGGAAAAAGTCACACCATGAATCAAGTATTTTTTAAGGGTGAGGAAGTATTTCAAACATCAAACGAACAGGATTGTTGTACATTAGGCGTTTGGGCGGCGTTTGATCCGATTCTGAATGTTATTTGTTTGGATACAGAAGGTTTACAAGGTACAATACATCCTGTGTTATTATTCAAGC